CCAATACGACAAACACTATTGTTAATAATCGCAACACTAACACGACTAATATTATTGTAGTAGTTTAAACATGGCAGCAGTTCTTCCAAACTATCATTTTTAATACGCGTAAGATCAGTGTTACGAATGAGAGTACGTGTGCTACTCGCATCGTCATACTAAGAACACGAATCCGGATAATCATATTTCTCATACGAATACCAGTGATTCTAATAACATTAATGTTCATCGGTGCACGACTAATATTGATAATCATATTAATAATCACGATAAGAAGAAGAGGAGGACGAGAAGGAGGAGGAGGTGGAGCAGGAGGAGCAGGAGGAGGAGGAGGAGGCGGAAGAGGAGGAGGAGGCGGAGGAGCAGAGGAAGCAGGAGGAGGAGGAGCAGGAGGAGGAGGAGGAGGAGGAGGAGGAGGAAGAGGATGAGAAGGACGATTAGGAGGAGGCGGCGGAGGAGGAGGAGGAGGAGCAGGAGCAGGAGGAGGAGGAGGAGGAGGCTGGGCTGTTTGTGATTCGATCGATTCGACAGCTCGTGCATGTGTCTGCGCGTTACATCGATCGGCTCGACTGCGGATGCAGCGCGCCCAAGAGCGACTAACCTTATTCCTGGAGCGACCCGGTTGATCTGCGATTGAGGTCAGCGCTTGGACGGCCGCACGAGGAGGAGCCGCGCCACCTCTGTGGATTTCGGGCGTCGGAATCGATACACATCTACCGCCGCCTGCTAGGCCCCTCCTGGGCCCAGGAACTGCAAACCTCGTCGCCCTGTGGATGACAGCTCACGCCGTGCGTCACTTTTTTTTCTCGTGGCTCGGGCCCGAGGCCTCGACCCCATCATTGGGAGTTGCACCTTTTTGGGTGGCTTGGGCACGAGGCCCCGACCCCATCCTTGGCCGTTCTGCGATGGCCCCGTCTGGTCCGAGACGGGATCCCTGGAGCCCGAGAGCCTGGAGAGAGCTTGGCCGCCGCGCCGTTTCCGTCACCCCACCCGGGCTGGGTGCGGCGGGCTCCTCCTGAGCTCCTGGGCAGCCTCACGGAGTGCTCCGCCAGACGGGGGCCTGCCTTGGCTTCGGCCCCCCGCCTGGTATGATGGCCGCGCGCGGACATGGAATGTAGCTCACCTCCTCCCTGCGTCCCCGTATATGCGTGCGGCAGGTCCGCGCCGCGTCGACGCGGCGGCGGGCCCAGCGCTGGTGCTCCAGGTGGAACGCCGCGTCTCGGAAAGCCACGGCCGTTCCAGATCGAGCGATCCACGCGGTGCCAGAAACAACCGTGCAGGTCGTCGGGGCACGTACTTGCCGGGGAGCCCTGTGCAGATGCACCGAAAGCGAGAAAGCCATCGTCGGAGTACGGCCGACCCAGACATCCAACGCCGCGATTTTCTTGCCGTGGCTCCCCATCAGTTGGGCCCCCTTACCGGAGACAGTCTCTCTTCGTCCCGCGCCGTTTTTTGGGACGGCCCCAGTGGCCCGACGAGGCCACTCCGGCGGCGGACCAATCGCAAGACCTTCGGTCATGTGTTCTCCACGACGCTCCTGAGCGGCTCGCTCCGTCCGCCCCTCTTTCGGCCGCGCCCTCCTCCCGCACCTCCTGCTGCATGGTGGCACAACTCGCTCGAAGGGCATCCCCGTTTAGGCTTGAGTCGGGCCTGTCCCCCTACAGGGGGTTTTTCGATGAAAAATAAGAAATACCCCCAAAATAGTCAACAAATAGTCCCAAAGTAGTCTGGGGACTATGATTTGACTATTTTTTACCTTTTTGGAGTATGTTTGGAGTATTTCTTATTTTCGTCGAAAATCCCCCTGTAGGGGGACAGGCCCGACTTACGTTGAGGCCTGATGCACTCGCCAGCGCAGACGTCCCCTGCATCGCACGCACGCAGTTCTGCACGACGCGACGATGTCGAGGTCTGGGGGCCAGGACTGGGGACCCCCAGGGCCTGTGCCGGGGCGCGCTCTGACCAGAAGGCCGCGGCGCCCTCGGAAGGGTCTTGTGTCCTCTCGCGTGTCCTGCCCAACCAAGGCCGACTGCACTGGTGCAGCCTGCGTGGGTCGGGAGTGGGCCCGTCGCCCCGTGCGCCGAGGCACCCGCGAGGTGGCCCCCCAGGGGGGCCGACAGGCCGCCGCGCGAGCCGCGGGGCCCGCTGGCCGTTGCGGCCCCGCTTGGCGCGGGATGGCCGTGCGAAGGAGGAGGAGGACGTTGAGGAGGAGGAGGAGGAGGAGGAGGAGGAGGAGGAGGAGGAGGAGGAGGAGGAGGAGGAGGAGGAGGACGTTGAGGAGGAGGGAGGAGGAGGAGGAGGAGGAGGAGGAGGAGGAGGAGGAGCAGGAGGAGGAGGAGGAGGAGGAGGAGGAGGAGGAGGAGGAGGAGGGGGAGGAGGAGGAGGGAGGAGAGGAGGAGGAGGAGGAGGAGGAGGAGGAGGAGGAGGAGGAGGAGGAGGAGGCCCCTGAGCAGCGTGCGAGCGTCCGGCATAAGAGCCTCCCCCCGACGCGTGCCGGCAGGCCGCCGGGCCCGCGGCGGCGGCGCCCGGCGCCGGAGCCTCGCCCTGGTCGTCGCAGCTGGCGTGCCCGGCCAGGTGGGCCCTGGCGGCGCTCAGCGCGTCGCGCGTGCCGCTGGCCTTCCACAACGGGCTGCCAGACAGCTGGCGGCGCGCATCAGAGGAGGGACCGATACCGCTGCCATGGCCTTGTTCTCCCCTTGTTGGGCCTCCCGGGAGGCCCTCGTCGCCACCGTTGGATTCGCCTCGAAATTCTGGTCAGAACGAAGCCCAGGAGAGGTCCGAGGAGTAGCGGTATTGGTACCTTTTTGTTTCCCCAGCGCAGCCCAGACTTCCGGGCGTCGGTGCAAAGGTCGGAGCCAGGAGGAGCCGAGGCAAGCATGTGGATCCACCTCGCTCCTCCCCCCAGCCCTTTAGAGAACAGTCGGTTGGTGAGGACGCGGATGAGTATGAGGATGAGGATGAGGATGTGGATGCGGATGAGGATGCCGATGAGGATGAGGAGGATGAGGATAAGGATGAGGATGAGAGTGAGGAGGATGAGGGTGTGGATGAGGATCAGGATGAGGATGAGGATGACGATGATGGTGCTGCTAGGTGGAGGACGAGGACGAGGAGGAGGAGGAGGACGTTGAGGAGGAGGAGGAAGAGGAGGAGGAGGAGGAGCAGGAGGAGGTGGAGGAGGAGGAAGAGGAGGAGGAGGAGGAGGAGGAGGAGGAGGAGGAGAGGAGGAGGAGGAGGACGTTGAGGAGGAGGAGGAGGAGGAGGAGGAGGAGGAGGAGGAGGAGGAGGGGGTCTTGGTCTGGGAGGCCCAGACTGCAGCCGCCGAATTGAGCCGACGCCTGCAGGTCTGGGGCAACTGGGGGGGGCACAGGGCGGACGGGGCGGCCTCCCAGGACGGGGAGAGGCGGTGCCCCGCGCACGACGGCGGCGCCGATCGGCGATCGATCCGGCGACAACGGCCAGCGACGGCCGACGGCGATCGACGGCGACGGTGCCGACGGCGAGGCCTCCTTCGCGATCGACGACGACGGCGACGACGGGGGCGATCAACACCGACGGCAGGGACGGGGACGATCGACAATGATGGGGACGACGGGGAGGTCCTCTGAGAGGCGGGGTGAGCCTCATGGGGCGGCCGCCCCCTTGGCCCTGGTGCCACGCCTCTCTGCTCGCCGCCAAGACATCCTGGAGCTCTTCGACAAGTTCGCGGGCGAGGTCCCCGCGGGCCTGGCCGACTTTGGGTCCGCCTGGACCGCGCTCTTCCCCGCCACGTTCGACGTGCAGCTCCTGGCCTCGCAGGCGGGCCCCCCGGCTGGGCCCAGGGCGCCGCTGCGGCTGGAGGAGCTCCACGAGCAGCTCTGGAGCTGCGCCGGGAACGACGTCACCTTCAAGGAACTGGGGCTCTACACCCACCGCGCGGCCTCGAGGAGGCTTGGCCTAGTCGCCGGACGTGGTCAGGGCTCGGTGGCGCGGGAGGCCATGGCGGTAGCTGAGTCCTTCATCGTTCAGATGAGGCTTCGCCTCCATGCCACCAGCGGGGCGAGCCAGTCCCTGGCGGGAGTTGCTGTCCTTGCGCCTTCAGCAATCGGGTTGTGTGGAGGGACGGCGGCTGTGGCCGACGCGCTGAAGAAGACAGCGGAGGGTGCCAATCAGCCAGCCGCCGCTAAGCAGACGCCTTCGGCGTGCGTGCCGTCGACCACGGCCCCGGCGTCCTCCTCCGCCTCGCTCGAGGATGCGTGCGTGGGCACGACTGTTGCCGGCGAGGACAATGCCCAGCAGGAAGACTGCCATGCGACCTGCGGCTGCTTCGTGGCCCAGCTGCTGGCAGCGACCAGGGCCGAGCGGCCGAGGGCACCCAGTGCGAAAGCCTGCCCAGCGCCCTCGACGCCTGCCAAGCGACGGCGGCAGGGGAGCCCGAGGCCCTCGACAGGCTTGGGCCAAGACCGCGCGAGGGACCTCTCGCCCATCAAGGGCGCCGACGCGAAGCGGCCGCGGCGCAGGGCCAGCGCGGCGGGCAAGGCGGCGGCGCCCGGGCCCCTCTTCGAGGCCGCGGCGGTGCAGCCGACGGTGGCGGCCCTGGCGGCGAAGCTGGCGACGCCGGGGGGGCTCGACGAGAGCCTGCGCGCCTGCCAGCACCTGCACAACTGCCTGGCCGCCCCGCCGGCCGAGCGCGGCCTGGCGCTGGCCCCGCGGGCGCGGCGGCGGGCCTCGCTGCCGCCCGCCGCGGGGGCCTCCGCCGCCGGCGCCGCGGGCGCCGCGCCCGCCGCGGGCGCCGCGGCGTGCCGCCCGTGGGGCGCGGCGGTGCCGCCCGCGCGCTGATGGCGGGCGAGGCGGAGGGGGAGGGGGGGGTCGAGGCTCGAGGCTCGAGGCTCGAGGTTCGAGGCTCGAGGTCCGAGGTTCGAGGGCGTCTCCGGCGTGCCTCCGCGGGGTGCTCCGGCCTCGGGGAGGGGGGCTCTCGGGCAGCCGCGCCCCGCCGAGGGCGCTGCAGGGGGGGGTGCCCGGAGGTCGGGCGGCCCTCGGGCGGCCGTCGGGGGCCCGAGTGGTGCCCCGAGCGCCAGGCGTCGAGGGCCGCTCGGGTCGGACTGCAGAGGAAGGGCGGGGAGGAGGAAGGGTGGGCCTAGGGTACTCACACACTGCAGTCAAGCCGCATGGTAGGGAGGAGCGACTCTCCAAGGCTCCCCTCGCATGCTGCCCCTTCGGCCCATCCGTGGCCGCTTTCGCTGGCCGCGCCCCGCTCGCAAAGTTCAAGGGGCCCGAGGGCACACAAATAAATACACACAAATAAAAATATTCCCTTATATTTTCCTATATTTTCTGGGCTTTTGTCTTCCTGCCCAATTCCTTCGACATTGCCTTCCCAGGCCCTTTCATCTTCACCGTGCGTCCTTGTGGTGCGGGCCGGCTGCCTGTGTGCGTCGGCCCCGCAGTGGGCGAGGCGCGCGCTCGCATGCCTTGAAGGGGGCAGGCTCTCGCTGGTGGGCTCCCTCCGGCGATGCTGCCTGGGCCATCGGTTTCTGCAGCAGGAACGTCTCAGGAGGGGGAAAAACATACAGACACAATTAACCGTCGATTCCCCCAAGAATATGGGAAAATATGGGAATTGGGCGGGGAGACAAACCCAGAAAATATAATGAAATATGAGGAATCTTTTTACTTGTGTGCATTTATTCGTGTGTCCCAGGGCCCCTTCAACGTCGCGCCTTCCACAGCAAAACCATCGAAACCCACGAGACCCAGGGCATTCCAGAGGCAAGCAGGGTATCTCCTGGCATGGGTTGCCACTGCAGCAGTCACTGGTGTGCCCGTCTGCGACCCTGTGGCGGGGGGGGGCGGTGTCACACACCTGCTGTTCCCAGCCGGTGTCGGAGGTGTGGCGCCGGCGCCCCCGGCGCCGCCCGGCGCCGCCCGGCGGCGGGAGGCGCCGGGGAGAGCTGGCTGCGAGGACGGATTCGCGGACGTACCTCCATTACGTTGCATCTTCGGGGGACCTCGCCTGTCCCCCAAGCTGGGGTCTTCTTTTGTGCCCGACGCGGGCCCGATGCGGACTCGACGCGGATTTGGCGTGGATTCGGCGCGGATTCGACATGGATTCGACATGGATCCGATGACTCACTCCGACATGGACTCGACACGGATTCGACGCGGATTTGGCCGCGACGGGACATCGGCGTCACCCCAACATACCAATACTATGTGTGCGTCGCCTCCCCAGGGGCGACGCGCGCACAGAGAAATCCTATAGTATATGCGTCGTGGCGAGCGATTTCTGGCCACACCCCTCGGGAAACGATATACTACAAGATGGGCATACTATATGTTCTGGTCGGACGCTAGTACTAGTATGTCTCTGTGCGTCCCAGGACAGACAAGATCCCCCGAGGACGCAACAGAACCCTCCGCTGAGCACCCCCACCCTGCCCTCCCCCACCTCCGGCGGCGCGGGGCGAGCCGTTTGCGCAGGCGGACTCGCTGGCCCCACCTGCTGAGCGCGTGCCCCACCACGCACCAGACCACCCCAGCCCCACCCGAAGGCCCCAATTTGCCATCCATTCCCAGTGGGGGGGCGTCGGGGAACATCCCGTATCCCCCCCAACCCGAAATGTGGCTCTTCAGGTTAGGTTGAGGTAGTGAGTGCCCTGTGAGTCGACGGCAAGGGCGCACAGCTCAGGGGGGGAGCAACACATGCACCCAGAGGGACGCCGATGGTCCACGTCTTCGGCGAGGCTCCCCGGCGAGTACGTGTAATGCCCGTCCCTGGGCCATTCGCCCCTACCATCGCCGTCGATTCGCCGACCCCCCCTTCACGGCTTGCCCCCTCCCCTCTTCGTCTGGCCAAGGCAGGGGGCGAGAGAGAGGGGAGGCGGTGGGATGGGATGGGAGCGGGCAGCGGGCCGCCGTGCGCGCCCCGACAACGTTTGGCAAATGGTGCTGCCCCCGTGCTCTGGGGGCCACGACAGGGGGGGGGGCTGGGCTCAGGGGGGAGGTGCACCGACCCCCGACCCGCCTGTTCCTTCGCCGATGGGCGCCCGATGTCCCCCACCCCGCCCAGGCGCGTGCGCGGCGCCGCTCCTCGGGGCCCCTCGCCGATCCATCGCTGGCGATGCGGCGCCGACTCCGGCCCGGTGCACCCCCCCCCCCCCCCGGAGCTGGCCGCCCCCTGCCGTGCCGCCCCCCCCCCCCCGTCAGTCGGGTGTTGCCAGAAGTGCCCCTGGCCCGAGGTGCCCCCAGGATCCCAAAGGAGGCCCCCGCGGCCTCCAGGGCACCCCTCACGAGGCCCACGAGGCCCCCAATGGGGCTCCGAGATGGAGCGAAGAGCGGGGGGCACCTTTTCTGGCAGGGGCACCGCGAGCAACACCCGAATCAGTGCCGGTGCTAGCTATCCGCACGCCGCGCGCGCGCGCCAGACTGCTCCCGCAGCAGCGGCGAGCGCAGGCGCCCAGCGCGCGCCAGCGGGGCGCGGCAGCCGTGGGGGCGGGCGCCCCCGCGGCTGCGGCGTTGTTTTTTGACGGAGCGCCTGTCGGCCTCTGGCCACGCGGAGGGGGCCGCCTCCCGCCAGTGACCCCCCCTCCGCCTCCCCTCTTCGTCCAGCGGGCACCTCCCTCCTCCAGGCCTCCCCTCGGCCCCTCCTCCCTCCCCTCCTTCCTCGCCCTCGCTCCCGTCTCCTGCTCGCTCCCCTCGTCCCGCCTCCTTCCGGCCAGCCCCCTCCCTCCTCCTCCGCAACCCCCAGCCATGGTGGATGGTGTGGGCCTGGGTGGTTTTTGACCGTCGGGCACGGCGGGATAGAAGTACTGCCCTCGCTGTTTTTGGTCTCGAAGCTAAAGCTCCACCCTTGCTACCCCCCGAAAGGGGCGGTCCCAGTCTGCGCTGCGGAGCTTGAAGCTTCCTCCTGCGGAGTCGATCCGCGATCCCCACCAACCCTCCTCCACCCTCCCCTTCCGTAGCCTTTTTCGGAGGCCTAGCGGTTGACACCAACACCAGTATCGTTGATGTGCCCCCACCGAAGCAAGATGATACCGATCTCGGTGATGGTGGTAATATTCGGGCTTCTAGGTGTCCGAAGTATTTCCAGCAACACCACCAAATTCTAGGATCAGCTTCCCCTGGTGGAGGCAACCCCCTGTGTTGGTGCTGGTGCGCGATTTCTCCAAGTTTTGACTCTGCCGCGTGCTGGCGCGCCCGGGAGGCGGCGGGCGTCGCCGTCGCCGGCCTCTGCTCCAGGCTCGTGGATGCGCACGGCCTGCTCGCGGCCTTCGAGCTGGACGTCGACGTGGTGGCGCCTGGCTCCCAGGGGCGACGAGCTGAGGCGCGGGCTTCCGCTCATGGCGCTGGTGCTCGCCGCTGGTAATCGCGGGGCTTCTTCGTGCCGTTGTGTGCTCGGCGCACTGCTGGTGCAGCTTTGGCGGCGCACAGCCTCGACGTCGCGGCCGAGGCCACCGAGGGCGCTTCGCGGCGGGAGCTCGGCCCGCTCCCGCGGGCGGGGCGCTCGGGCTCGGCGGCTGCGGCGGCGGGTGCTCGCGCTGGGCGCAGGGCCTCGCGGCAGTGCGCCCGCGTGCTCGGCCCCCCGGGGCGGGACGCCGGGAGCCGCTGGGTGGCCCCTGCGGCGCCCCGCGGCGGCCTGCGCTGCGTCCGCGGCGCCGTGGCCTTCGGCTCGCGGGAGCCAGCCGCGCTCGAGGTCGGGGTGCTGGAGCGGGGCTTGCCCGTGCTCCTGCCGGTCGGCTGCCCGTGGAGGGGGTGCAGAACCTCTCGGGCAGTTCAGCAGTCGAGGACGGCGAGCACGTTTTCGCCGAGGCTGGAGAGCTTGGTCTGCGCCTGCCTTCTCGCGCCTAACAAGCTGGCCGCTGTGCGCGCGAGCATGCGCGGGCTAGCGCGGCCGCAGAGATGCGTCAGCCAGTGCCTAGCACTCATTTCAATCGGTGCCGCATGGGTTCTGCAAACCAAGTTGTGGGTAGGTGTGACGATTGCGCTAGCAGTGGAGTTGACAAGTCCAAGTTTTTCACAATTTCTAGCATCACAAAAGTGCACCACAAGGCCAACCCCACACAGATCGCACCACGTAAATTGCGCTACGTAGGCTGCTCACATACCTTACCATGCACATGTTGCGCCACGTAGATCGCTACCAAACATTGTCTGGGGTCCCCGCTGGCTTATTTTTATGACTGGAGGACATGGTAAGCATTCGAAACAAGTCCTTACTCCCTTCCTCCTCCCCTCTCCCCTACTCTGTGCTCTCCTCCTCGTTCTCCCCTGCCCTGCCTACCACTGGGTAGGGGCAGGCGCCCGGCGTGTAGGTGCTCGCCGCCCCTAGGTATGTGTCCGGTCGCGCTATCCCCGTCGGCTGTGGCCCGCTCCCGCCGCCGTCCCGACCCCGACCTGCACAACAGCAGAGCGTTCCTCGCCCTGGGATGATGATGATGCGGATGGCGATGATGATGATGATGATGATGATGATGATGATGATGATGGTGGTGATGATGATGATGGTGATGGTGATGGTGATGGTGATGATGATGATGATGATGATGCTGATGCTGATGATGATGATGATGATGATGATGGTGATGGTGATGGTGATGGTGATGGTGATGCTGATGCTGATGATGATGCATATTCTGATGCTGATGCCGATGGCGATGATGACCATGACAATGACGACGAAGACGATGATGAACATGATGATGATGCTGATGATGACGATGATGATGCTGATGATGATAATG